CAACCCCAAATTGGTACCCACAGCACTTATGATAGTTTCCTTCTGGATTCTCCTGTAAAGTACCAGTGTTGCCGTAGACTGTTGTACACTGACAAGACAACCTTGGCCATCCATCTGCCAGTGCCCATTAATCTTCATGAGACGTCAGGTGGATTGATACCACTATGCTGACTGGTCAGCCGTGACTCTTCTCTTTTAATTCAAACTAAGTTACAGCCCTTCACAAGAGGAAGTTTGTTGTATGGCATACACAACACTGGAAATATACTGGTCCCTGAAGCAGAACAGATTTAATTCCAAATGTGACCAGAATTTGGCAAATTAATCTTCAACATACGTCATGTGCAGCGGCACTGAGTTGTTGGGGAGGGAAGAGGGTTTCCTTATAATCCCTTTTAAAGTAAGGGGTTTTGGCAGGCATCACGCTTATTCCTTTAAAAATGCCTTCATCCCCTGTCCTACAGAAATTACATGGTCTAAACAGAAGATGTCCATTGTAGATAGATTCTTATCTTGGAAATATTAAGCAAAATGTTACACCAATAGCCACGAGTCCTCTGCTCTAAAGCAGCCAGAGCGTTTCCAACTAATAAAACTTTTTACAAACAGTTTAAGGGAAAAGAAACAGGGGTTGGACATGAGTTGCAGCACCCAAGGGGATGGAAACTATTTAGGTGAATACAAAGTTATGGCCTGTGAAGAAAATGGACACCAATATTCAAAGTATAATTAGTAATCTCACCTTGTTAACAATATACAGGCACCTGGGTCAAGTAGGCTTTGCATGCTACAACCTGAGATCTGCACAAGCTCTAAAGATGCCTCATTCCATGTGAGGGCAGCTGTGTAACACTGGAGGGGGAGCAGGTCTTCTCCTGCATACAGGGGAATATCTAGGCATACAACTAACGGTTTAGTCTAAAAAGTGCAGACATAAAGATTTATGTAGCGCGGCGGGGCGAAGTCTCTCTCAGGTTGTGGGCTGTCAGAGAAGGGCTGGTTGGAGTCCAGATGGCCTTTGGGTCGGTGCTTTACATCACTTCATCGAACAGGTAACACCCGAGCAGAATGTGTGTTTGGCTCTTCATTAGAGGAACTTCAGGAAGGTAACTTAAAATCTCAGGGAAAGGCTTGGCTAATAAGTGTAGCGAGAGTCCTCTGAGAGAGGATGCAAGAGCTACTGCTAGAAATGCTCGTATTTTCCAGAGGGAGCTTATAAGAGCCATTTCAGAAAAAAATACCAGTCTCAGAAAAAGAAATGAGCATGTGTTTTCCCAATTACATTTGTCTAGATAATTTCCTGTCAACAAGATACGTGGAAGATCGCTGTTTATAATAAGAGGACGCTCTTATTTCTGTATCTTTATTCTGTGTAGGTTATAGAGGACAGAAAGGGGAAAGAGGCGAGCCTGGAATTGGACTGCCTGGTAACCCTGGACCACCCGGCCCTGCAGGTACAAGTCTCCAGATTTATTTCTGCTCTTGTTGTTTATGCGCTAACAGGCCTTTCTCCTGGCTTTCACGCCGGTGTTATACCCGCGCCTTTCCTCCTGCGCTTGGTCGTAGCGCGAGGTCAGACCCAGTTGCCTTCTCGCGGATGAGCTGGCGTGCAGCTGGGCACCGGTGACAAAACGCAGGGCACTGTGTGCACTCTGGTGAGGATTCTGCTAATTCCAGCTTTGTTTTACCAGCTACTGGCCTGCCAGGCCCACCGGGAACGCCAGGCTCACCCGGACCGCAGGGGCCACCTGGACCCAACGGAAGATGCAATCCGGCAGATTGCTATTACCACATATCACAGACTCGGTCACGCACCAGTGGGAAATAAAAACCCTCTCCCGTAGACACTTGGGTTCACAGTCACTTTTCACTCCTCTCAATAAGTTAATTTAATCTTTGAAATACTTGGTGCATTTTTTTTTTCCCTCGACGCTGCATGGTATATAGATAATTTATAAGGCATGGAACTGAGCCTTTTTCTATGTCATATGCAGTGTCATAATTATGAAATGATGACATATATTTTCCAGAGTGCATTCCATGTGTTATGTTTCTCATATTTATTTTGCTTAGAGGAGAAAATAGGCCCAAATAATTTTCATAAGCTTCTTTCTTCAAACAAAAAAATATTTTATTATAACTTGAGACAGTATGTATGCCTCAGTATGTAAGGTGGCTCTATTTTTCTTGCTGATGGTGAAGTTTAAGTGGAGAAACTGCAGTTCTGAAGTTTTAAAGCGTGCCCATTCGTGGCGAATGCAGGACCTGCACTGGAGCGCTGGGAACTCTGTTTAGACTAAACGTTCACATCCCTCGAGGAGGCTCCGGCACACCTTCTGGACTGAAGCACCACGAACGCTACCCACTGTTTCACTCGCTTCCTAGATGTCCAAGAAGGAAACGTTTGGCTTCAGACTGACTGGAAATTCACCAGGTGTAGCCCCAAGAAGCGTCTCTCCTGACTGGATGTTGTCCCAGCCGAGGGGCTGTACGTTCGTTTAGCCATGGTTACGTATGCTCTGGATATTGACCGGTTCTTGGCTGAGAACTGGCACGTCTTCTAACCGCTACCTGGACTTGGTAAGTGTGGTATCGCTGCCAGTAACCAAGTTGCTCTGCTGTTATGTCAGATTACAGCAAAGGCAACCTCTTGCTTTGGAGCAGAGGTGATGGGTACTCAGTGAGACAGTCAAAGAAGGAACTTCGCAAGCCTCTAATCTTACAGATGGCACAGTTTTCCTCTTCATCCTGCAATAACCATGTGCCAAAATAAACTTGAGGAGAATGTGGAAACAGTAGAGTTCAAATCTCATGGGTCCTAAGTAACTGGTTGCAAAAAACTGAGCTCAAGAGAAATTTGGAAAAATTACAAAACCCTCCTTGGAAAGGTGTACTACAGAGAGCACGACTGCATGCAGTTTGCAGGCATTGAGTAAATCCTACGGGGCCAGATACTGTCAGTGGCAAACAAAACAGAACAAAGTGTAAATCCTGTAGACCTCAAAGGGTTGAGCAAAAGAAAAGATGGAGAAAATCAGTCATTCTGATTCTGAAAAGGCAGGAGGAGGGTTGACTGAAGTTCTGCTCCTGATTATTCAGAAAGAGATGGTCCTAGGTTAGTCCTAAGGAATTTGCTGCAGTGCAACAGAAAGTGAAGGTGCTATTGAGAGAACATGGACAGCTCTAACCCACAACCTCAAAATAAACCCATAGTGCAGAAGCGGCGGTGAGGGTTCTTGCCCCACTGTTGGGAAGCCAGTCATTAACTCCCACTTCAGGCTGGTAAGGGGTTTCAGTGATCTCCGTACTTGAGAAGTACTGAGCAGCCAGGGAAGGGTTCCCAAATTGGAAGCGCTGAGTTCCAGAGGGGCTGTTGTGAGGTATTAATCTGGCTGACTTCTGGTTTTTCCTTAAAAACAGTAAGGAATGAATGGTGGGAGTCTTTTAAAAAAGCAAAATACATTGGGATTTGTTCTGAATAGAGTTTCTAGCGCTTGTACCCAGCCTGGAGCAAGAGGTAATGGAGTTAACCCAGGTAGCTGGGGAGCACTGGCAAGCCTTAGCCACGCTTTCTGAGAGAGAAAGCGTGCCCTAAGAGCGTCCTCGGAGCCCCACGTAACGTGCTAATCAGTTAGGCGTTTTGAGGGAAAAAGGTGCTTGGCAGAAGAGCGATGCTTAAGTGAACACAGAGGTCGAAGGCTGAGAGAAAACACCTGGGACAGGAGAGGGCAGCAGGAAGGAGGACAGCAGAAAGCTGTGGTGTACCATGAAGTCGCCCCCTGAAGCGAACCTGCCAGCTGTAATACGCCCTGCAGCTGGGGACACCGTGGGGGATCAGGGTGCTTCGTCTGTCCCTCATGAGGACAGGGATGGATGGGTCAAAGCCCACAGGCCAACCACGGTCCTCGCACCTCCTTTTCTGTTCATCCCTCGCTGCCTCTCAGAGGCAGTAACTGCCCCTTCTCCAGGCCAGCGCGTCCTCCGCTCTGCGGGCGGTGGCGCCCCTCCCGCCGGGGTGAAGGTGCATTTGGAACAAGCGGTCCCACCTCTGTGCGTTGCTCCAAACGTGCTGCTCCCCTTCTGGACCTCCTGTGCCCACGGGAGCACCTCTTGGTTTGCTCTGCGGCATTGACTGCCCTTCCAGACCTGGTCCTCAGAGCGCTGTATCTGTGCGAACGCTGGGAACTGGTGAGGCGGCTTGAAACCGGGCGTTTGTCTGTCCGGGCCACAGGTCTGCCAGCCCAGCCAGCAAAGCCAGGGGCCTTGCACCGGTGTAGATATGGGTGTACGTACACCACCGGAGGACCGGGCCCCACATACTGTTTTCCATTCAGTCCAATGAACTGCTGGTCAGGTATCTTGCATGAACATTTTTTTTTTCCTTGATTTCTTCTTACTTCTTTAGTAATTCCAATGTATGTAAAAAATCTAAATATTTTTTTACTTCCTAAGTTAATTTTAAACTTCATTTTCTGTGATAATATCAAAAAGGGTGCTGTCTTGTAGAGTATCCGCATGACTGAGAGGTTTCCAAGCAGCCCCCATCCTGGGGGGCTGTACATCGACTGTTGCGCCGCGGTAGGGGTATGTGTATATTTTGGGGCTTTTAGCTAGCTGAAACTGAGCATCTGTTATTTGCCAGATGCAATCGCTGTATGTTAATTTACTTGAACTTACCGGAAAGCAGAACACTTTTTATATTTGAAGAAGTTTTATTTTTTCATCTATGTTTCTTACGGATGCCTTTTTCTTTTTATAGGCTCAGATGTAGAGGTCTTTTTAAAATGTATTTGAACACTTTGAATTTATTTGCAGGTAACTTTGATAATTATCTTGTTGCATTATTTTTTATTTTGCTAAAAGCCCGCTTTAATTTTCTCACGTGAGAAAACGGGTATTTTGTTATACGGGCGATCTCAATACCCTTTCTTCACTGGGGTAGAACAGAGTTAATCCCAGCTTAACTTTATTTCACACTGGCTTGCTCCTACTCTATATTTTTAGAACTGAAAGCAGAACATAGCTGGAATTGTGCTTCTGTGTGGTTTTCAGGTTTGGCCCGTGAAATTTCTTTGCAGTTTCAGACTGATGTTGTCTTAATTTTTGGGAAGGGGGCCGGGGAGAGCAGAGTGATGTTACTCCAGTTTGCGATTTGCTTTATCAGTTTCCTATCCTTTTTGAGCAGTCCGCGCTGCAGTACGTGTTGCAAGGAACTAAACACCCAGGATTATTTCTTCCAGTAGCACAAAATATTTTTCTGATTTGGGAAAGTTTCCGTACAACGGGACTTTGAACTGAAATATCCTTGACAGAGTGTTTTAAACCTTTCTTAAAAGCTCTCTAAGATTTGTTCTAGTTCGCGGTCAGACTATTGTATTTTACGGCAATTTGCGTTATCATCTACAAAGAACGTGTTGGGATTTTCTTCAAACAGCTGCGTACAGGACTACCCAGTTTGCCTAAGGGAAGTACTAAACTTGCTAAGCGGGAAACTTTCCCGAGGCTGCAGCATACTTCCTTGTGTCCACAGGGTGGAGTTCAAAACAGCTTTTCAGTGCAAAGGATAAAGCTCAGCAGCTCAAGGACTGGCCCAGGGCTGCCTAGACCCACGGCACCGGGAGTCAGTGTTTCCCATTTTGTTCTTGAGCCTGACTTTTTTTTTTTTTTTTTTGTCCTAAAATGCATTTATTTTTGCATGGCAGTATTTGCAGAAATACTGCCTTTATTGGGTAATTGTTTTCAGGTGATATTGCTTAGATTTTCTTTGTGTTTTGTGTATATACACTTTCTAGAAGAACAGGCAGTAGCGGGACGTCCTGCTTTCAGGCATCATTTATGTCCGCTGTAACGATGTTTGTCTGGAGGGGAGCGGGGAGTCTGCTATGGTTAATAAAAATTGCAACAGCATACTTTGGACAATTGAGGAGCAGTGCAGCCTACTGAATAACGTTTTAAGAACCAGTATTTCTGTCTTAAACTGGATTTGGTTTCAATGCTAGAAGAGCACTGTGATATGGAAGCAGGATTGATTGTATCATCCATCCTCCCTTTATGTTTTACGGTTGTGGATTATGACAGATGTTAGATATGCACAGCTTTTTTAAATAAGCATATTTTTTAAATTCATGGATAATCACACAAAATATTTTGTCGCTGCTTCTTTTTCACAAGGGTGAAATACTATTTTTCCTGTCAGCATACACTCAATTTTTTTTCTTCTTTTTCTGTAATGTTTACATAAAAGTCTTGTAAAAACCCCACAGGCTAAACTAGCATTTTATAAACTTGTTTCTCTAAATATGCTACGTAAAGCCACCCCTGACCTTGCATTTTACCAATGCTCTAACGCGATGTGTTAGAACATGAGAAGTATCTCAGGAATCAAAACAATGTTGGCTTTGGGGGGGTTTTTTATCATGTTTTTGTTAGATTCTGGATGTACTGAGTTATATAAATTTTCCTTGAAATCTGTTACGTCCACTACAACTAGATTGTACGGGATGGATGTTTAAATCCATCCGCGTATGTGTAGGCAGGTGTAGGCCATGGAGAACAAGTTTAACTGTGGCCTTGCCTCTGTTGGTGTGCAAGGGGAAAACTCAAGCTTGACGATACCTTAAGGAAATGTGATTTTCAAATATTAATTGCTAAGAAACATTGCAGATTCTAGACCAAAATAAGTTTGTAGCTAAAAAGAATGTAGTCTACATGTCTTTTAGCAGTTTTATCTCCAAGTCTGCTCTTCTACAAACACGAATGTGTTTAATTATTTACTGAAGTTTCAATGTAAATATATTCTGTCTCCAGTTAATATATTTGAAGGATTTTCAATGGCATACCTTACTGTATTATTTTCTTTCATTTCTGAATGATATGCAGCTGCCGCTGAATGAATCCCAGTACGTGCCAACGGGTTGCTTCTTTCCTTTGTTATATTTTTGGTTTGCAACATTTACGGTTCAGTTCAATGGAAATGTATTAAGTGGACAGAAAATTGCTTTTTACCTTATTATGTGGCCATGTACCTCTGAAGTAGGATTCTGGATGGAAATGGAAATGTTTCACATGCTTTCCATACGCGGTTCTGTCAGACATGACAACCTTTCCTTCTGTGTCAAATCACGAGAAGGGGGATGCAACTGCAACCAAGAGAAAGGAGAGGCACAAAGCCACCGCAGCGAGCCCTGGGGAGCGTTCAGCACCGGGGCTGCAAGCCTGGGCTGGCTGAATTGGGGGGGGCGGGGAGGAGTTGCTTTTGACCACACCCCAAGGTCAGGCTTGTGCTCCCTATGGGTCGGTGAAATTTAGGGTTCCACAGTCTGGAGGGAAAAAAAAAGAAGTGAAAAACCTTGACCTTACATATATATATATATAGCTTATGGAAGTTAATATAATCTCTGAATCAGATGCAGCTAACTTTCCTGCCTGAGTATGAGCTCATCACTTTTATTCAAGAAGCTGATTCACTGGGCCATTTCATTTTAGGTAACTGTAGGTATTTTCATTGGTCTCCTTGCTGCCTAACTCTCCCAGGAGACAAAAGAGAACTGCCAGGTCAATGGCATTTTAAAGAATGCTAGGTAATAATTTGACCAGTAACATGATTTTCTTTCTTCAAATTTCTTAGTGGCTTCAGCCGGCTTGCTTCATACGTTGTCTAAAGCTGCCGGAGTTTTGCTAGTCCTGTGGAACCTGTGCACAGCAAGCAAAACAGGACCGTGAAACAAAGATTGTTACCGAGGTACGGTTGGGCTCGATGATCTTAAAGGTCTTTTCCAACCAAATGGTTCTGTGGTTCCATGATTGAGGGGAGGGGAATAAAACTGAAGCTGTACCAAATCAGATGGGAGTACCGCACCCTGCAAAATGAAGACATTTCTTCTTTACCTGTGAAACGTGAGCAGAGGAGATGCAGTGGCTGCATTTTAACTGTGAAAGAACCAGACCCTACCTGGCCAAATAAGAACCACCGATGGGCGGGTCAAGCCAACGCACTTCACCCAGTTAGCTAAGCAATTTAAAAACATTTGGAAAAACGCAGCCTGTGTTTGTGTGTGGAGCACAACTGTGAGGCTCTGCGAGGGGGCAGCAACGCTGCTGTCTCTGAAACGAAGGGACTGGGTTGCTTGTTCGCTCCATCTTTCAAGTAACCTTGACAGTGCCGTCTGCTGGCACTTCCCCTTTCTGAAGGAAGAGCAAATTTTAGTTGTAGATGCGTGTTTGGCTCCGTGTGAACTCCGATCAGAAGTAGGGTATCCAGGGAAGCAAAATCCAGCGGAATCCTCGCCCAGCCTTGCTTTCTTGCCTCACTGGGGTGCCCCAACTTGTGCCCTGGAGCCACCGCTCATCCTTTGGCTAGAGAGATGCTGTGGCCTTGGTGAAATATTCACAAAGGGCTTTTGGTAGCAGTTTGTACTTGGTGGCTCAAACTCAGTGATGGCTGTGGCAGGAGACTTCTTATATATATATATATATACACACATATATATATATATACACACACACACATATATAGATGAACTGTGTATGTATAGCACAGTGCATGTAAGCGCAGTATTTGGCAGCAGAGTTGCTAATACTTGTTAGTAGCCTGGCAGGGAAAGCATCGCAGTCACCATTTTAAAATACCAGACTGGATTGTGAAGAATTGGTTATCATTTTGAGGACAGCTGTTAAACATTTTTCTCTTGGTTCCTGCCCACACTTAAGTAATCGGGGAGCTAAAATATGTATTACAGTGCAGTTAAAGCTCAAGAATTAAGACAGAGATCCTGATGGGTAAAAGTGATTTTCATGAGTCTTCTGTTCACAAAATCTGATCGCGTTTTATGATGTTGAACCAGAAAGAGATGAGAACCAGCTTTACTCGGGACTTCATCGAAATTGGTTAGAGTGGGCAACACGCTGTCAGTGGCTTGTGAAACCTCTCCACCTCTTTGCTTTGTGCCTCCTAAATATATTTATTTAAACTAGCGCTGTTTTTTTCTGTAGCACCATAGTTGGCACGCCTTCCTTTTACATTCATAGTCCTGTCTTTATTTTCCAAATCTTTATTTACTTGAATGGGCCGTTGCTAAAATTCAGGTCCTGATATCTTGGGGTATATGGTCCACCATTCTTCAGATAAAATTTTTTCCGCTCTTGCGAATTTGGAATTAGTAAATATTTGGAATTAGTAAATATTTGGATTAAGCAATGTGCCCTGTACCAACCTACAGCAGGCTGAGGATTCTGAGGATTTATTCTTCAGTTTTGTATTTTAAGTTAAAATTCACAAATCAGTTGAAGGCAGAAAATCTGTCACAGTCTTAAGCTGTCCACTGACACAGATTCTGCATTGAATTGACCCTCAGTGTTGAATTTGATTGTAATAGTGATTTGGTTTTTACATACAAACGCTTTCTCTGCTACACGAGTTTCTTTCCATTGCGGAATTTGATGCATTTTTCAGACTCTATTTTTTAAAGCACTTCACATTTGTATTTAAATGTTGGCAGGTTTTGCTTCTTTTGATTCATTATGTTTATGCATTACATATGGAAAATAATATTTTCGTTCTGTTATCGGTTGTTTTATTTTCTTTTTAACACTTTTACACGCCTTATAGTCAAAATAAAAGTTTGCTGGTGAAACTACAGTTTGTCGCTGCTACTAAAGTTTTATTTGTTGTGCTATGTAAGGAATACTGAGGGCCATGGCCTGAATCAGTAAAAACTGACATAATTCTAAAATTCTGTGGAACACCCTTATGCGTGAACAAGCTGATCACCTGCTTGTTGTCTGGATTGGTTTCTTAAGAATGAAATCCTGTGTGCTCATCTTTTCTGATGACTTCTTGTAGTATTTAAGTAGGAGGTGTCGGTTATGAGAGAGTTTGGCCAAACTGGAGGTGCAGGAAAGCCGTTCTGTCCCGGGCTTTGCCCGGACTCTCTGGGAAGGATGGCACATTTCTTTACGCCTATTTTCTTCCCCCATCTTTTCCCTGAAATGTCACCCAGTGCTGCTTCTGTGGAACAAGGCAGCAACAGACACTTGTAGATAAAGACTTACTTGTAAAGATTCAACCTCTTTTCTATTTTATCATTTAAAATACTGGGCTGCGCAAGGGACATAGAATCACAGAATCATAAAATGTTTTGGGTTGGAAGGGACAGCGCTGACTAGATCAGGTTGCTCAGAGCCCCATCCAACCTGGCCTTGAATGTTTCCAGGGATGGGGCCT